TACAATAAAAAAAATTTAAAATAAAGCCTTAAAAATCTATAATTAAAATAATTTATCTATGATGTATGATGGGGTTCTTGCAATTCCAGATTTTGTCAATATTCACGTTCTCTTTACATTTTTTTTTGTTTGTTTTTCTTTAAATTTTTTACAAAAAAAAAAAAAAAATATTAATTGTGAATTAAGATAAAAAAATTTTTTTTTCACTACTTTTCTTTTTTTTTTTTGTTTTATTATTACTTTTCTCTTTTGCACACACGTTCTATACACACACACAAATAATTTATATATAGGTACATATGTAATTTATAGTTGCGCTTATTATATTATATTACATTGTATGTATATGGAAGGATGTAGATGTAGGTGTGTGTAAATAAAAAAAAATTCAATTTTATTTGTAATTTTTTAAGTGTGTATGTGCATATACTCGCATACATATTTTTTTTTTTGACAAATAGATTAAAAACACAAAAAAAAAAATGCATGAAAAAATTTAATTAAAAAAAAATTAATAATAATTTTGTAATAATTCAAATGAAATTAAAAAAAAAAATTAAATTATAAATGTGTTTTAATTATGTATAAACCTAATGCCTACCTTGTATATACATATGCATGTATAATTTACAAAGTATAAACTACTTATATTATATTTTTATAAAATAAAAATTGAAGAATTTAATTAAAACAATATTCATATATACATATATATGTACATATATTTGTATATTATACTTAAAATGTTATTTGTGTGTTTAATGTATATATTACATCCAAATGTGTATGGATGTAAATATTAAATATACATATGTAAATATGTATGTATGTAAGAATGTATGAAATAAATTTATTAACTTAACAAATTTTCTATTTACCCTGTTTCATTAAAGTGGGTAAAAATTTCTAATAAAAAAAATTATTTTTTTTTTCATTTTTGAACATACAACATGTGTATATATGTATGTAGGTAGATAGGTAGTTAAATAAAAATAATTAAATAGGTACCTACCTATGTATCTACCTAAATATTTTTACATTAACATTTTTTTTTTTCTTTAATAAATTACAATAAAATTAGCTATTTTAAATTTATTAGAGAAAAAAAAATATGCATACCTACTTACATATGTATGTATTAATGTTCATATGTAAATACAAAAATTCAAAAAAAGAAGTAATAAATAAAATTTGCAAATAAAAAAAATTAAAATCTTTGATCTTAAATTTTAATTTTTATTTAAGAAAAAAATATGAATTTTTTTTAAGTATAAAAAAGAATTTTTTTTTTTGCGATTTTTTTGGTATATGTATGTATGTATGTTATAATAAATATGGGAGAAGAGAGGAAGGTAGGTAGGTAACCAATTTACCTATCTAAAAATTTTTATATATAATAATTGACATCATTTTTTTTTTAGTGTGATATCCAATAAATTTATTAACACGTTAATTTTTTTTTTTATATACAATAGCTTAGATTGAGTAAAAAATGGAGTAGGTACACAGAAGTTCAAAATATAAAAATAAAAGAGAATAAAATTTTAAAATTAAAATAATTTTGAAACGAAATTCTTTTCATTTTTTTTTTTATTTTTTTTTTTACCTACCATTTTATTATGTTAAAATATCCTTGTGATTTGGAAAAAAAAAATGTGTACAAAAAAAAATTTTTTTTTTCTTCAACCAACGAGAAAATTATGAAATTTTTATTTTTTTTTTTTCTTCTAATTCACTTCGCACAACACAAAGAATTTTCAAAAATATACTATCTTTCTCTTTTTCTCTCAAATTATATAGAAAAAAAAATATAATATACATATGTATAAGACGACTACTTTTCTTTATCTGTAGATGCCTCTTTCCATTATCACTTATATTGCTTTTTTTTTTCTTCCTTATTTAATAACCACTTTCAAATTTTTTTTTATTTTATTTTTTCTTTAATCGTTTTATATTTATATATATTTCTTTTTTTTTATATATCTATATATACATATATAATTGTATATCTTTTTATTTTACTTGTATAAATTTCCTTTCCAATAATTTTTTTCTTCTTTTTAATTAAAAAAAAAAACTTATATGTTTCTTTTATTTTTCTTTCTTTTATAAATACATATACATTGCTAAATACATTTTAATATTTTATATTAAATATATTATAAAAAAAAAACGAAAGAAAATTAAGACTTTTTTTTTCAATATAAAAAAAATTTATAAAATTTATATTTTTTTTTACTCCCAGTTTTATGAAAAACTGGGATTTTTCTTCTGTTTCTTTTTGTTTTTTTTTTTTTTGTGTATTTTTTTTTTTAAATAAAAATGAAAAACTTCCGCACAAAAATCAATCCACTACAAAAAAAAAAACGAAACACATTATACAAAGAGCAACGACGAGTGACCAATAAAAAAACGCGAAAAGAATGTTGTAGTTTTTAGAAGAGTTAAAATAGCTAGTCCAGCGTCACTTTTGATATTAGTTTTGCTGGTTGCCAAAAGTGTATATACACAAAAAGAAACAAAAAAAAATTTTTTTTTACATTTCGACGTATTAAATTTGACATATGAAAAATATTAATAGTGTGCGCAATTTCTTAAATTAATTTTTGAAAAAAAAAAATTTTAATTTTTCAATATGACAATAAATTCTTAATAAAACATATGTATATTAGATATAATCTGTTCAGGACGAGACAAGTATTAAATTTTAATTCAATTAACTTATTAATTTTTGACAATTTATTCATTTGAGATTTCTCAGCTGTAACTATTCAAATAAATTTTAAAAGTCTTCATTAAATATGATCCTGAAAATTTATACAATTTTAATTATAATAATATAACCAAAGCGAATTCATTCAAATATATGTATTTTATATGAATTCTAACATTTCGTTGCGGAAAATCGCTCTTACTCTGTTTTCATCATGTAGGTAAATCCACCAGCAAAAAATGAAAACCAAAAAAACTCCTAGTGTTGTCCTTTATGGAATCATTAATCAATTCAGTTTTGGAAAATTTTGATTAACATTGTTTTCCGTGTTTTTTTTTGTATTTAAATTTTCCTATCCACAGTTTTAAAAGGTTTTATAGCAATCAATTTAAATGACGCGGTATGCGGTAATCTAAATTCAACATTATTTTTGCAATAAAACTATGATTGACATTTGTATAAACTGTTAAAGACAGTTACTGTATTTACATGCAATTTGAAGCCGACTTCCAGCAGGTTTCGAGTTCATATAAACGCAACTTGACTTTATATTTTTAAGAAACACTGCAAAAACTAAATTGAGAAGGGATTAAAAAATTAATATAAGTAAATATAAAATAAATTGCTACAACGCCATTTCTAAGACATCTTTACGACTCTCACTGACGCAGTGTCGCAGCTATGTGAACAGAGCGTATACTGCATTATAATAAATACATTCTATTCTTGTCACAAAATATCATATAATTTTAATAAAAGAAAAAGGCGTTCAACCGCCGTTAATAAAAAAGGCGACTTGTCAATAGTTCAATTTAAATGAAGAAATATGTAAACAAAAGACTATCTAATACTTATGCATTTACATTTAGGTTTATTGGGGCAATTTGACATTTGATTTCATTTCTTGTTTTCTTCTTATGTTGTTTTCGGTTTATGTTATTTATTTTTTTAAATACTGTTATAAATATTAGGCACAGCTTACATGTCGATCAAAGATTGACAATCATGATTGAGATTGATGATAATTTCCATTTACATTGCGATCAATATTTGTTATTCTTTCTACATGTACTTTAAATTTAAATGCTTAAAAAACTTTCACTTCACTATGAAATGACAAATGGCAACAAAAACCAAAAAACTTTTAAAGGAGCTGATCAAAGCCTTTTTTCTAAAACTTATGTTTATGCCTTTTTTTTATGTTATTGCTGTCAAAAATGATTGACAAAAATATAACCAGCTTGAATATTTCGTTAATCAAGAGTTTGGAAATTATTAATTGATAATCAATCTTCATCGACGATTACGATTGAGTAATTGTCAATCTTCGATTTAATATATGTATAAACGCTGACTTAGCGAATTTCTTATACGTTTTTTAACATTCAACTTCTAATTTAACTCTTGGCTTAGTTAATATTATTTGATGTTTGCATCAAATTTGAAAAATATCAATTCCACCATCTATTTTTTTTAAAAGCGGAATATTCATAAGTATAAATTATATATGTACATATGCTTTTCCAATTTCATTTCAAGTCGGTGTTATTAATTTGCACGCGCTAAACACGTTACAAAACTATAATTTAAATTATAAAATAAATAATATTTTTATATCAAAAATGAAACACAATTGTTCTTTGAATAAAAGTTATTTTCAAAACTATCACTGTAATAAACGTAGATAAAATGAAAAGCCGATTACTCTCCGTATTTGATTTGGATTTTTTATTCAAATTTTCTTCAATTTAAGTTACTTTCGAATTGGATTAAATTAAAATAAGTCACCATAACAGAATTTTTATATTCCAATTTTTAAGACAAGTTCATTCTCTAAATCACTATTACGTATACATACATATGTATGTATGGATGTATATAAAATTACCAAAAATTTGAACTTTGAGTTACGTAGATAGAAATTTGGAAAACTTAACTTTTGAACAAGCTCTTTCCTTTTAATTTTTTTTTCAATTATTTCTTAAAAATACTTATATTAAACTGCGCATATTGATATGTCTTAATTTTGATGTGAAATGCAATAGTTACAAACAGAGAAAAAACATTTCTCAAAGTTAATTTTCGACTTCGTTTATTTGAAACTTCGTTTTATCAAAATTCTTTAGGTACGATTAATCTATAATCATTATAGAAACGCTAAAATTAAGAGTGATTGGTTTTATTGTGATATTTATAATAAAAGTAGCAATAAATATGTATTTCAACTTTTCTTTATTTTCAATTTTTACTTCTACGAGAAAATTTTTATCTTATTTTTTTTTTTTTTAATGTTAAAACATCTTTTGAACTTCGTTTAATAAAGTGATATAATTAGTTAAATACAGTTTAAATGAACTTGAAATGTAATCGAACAGAAACTTTGAAAATAACATTTAATTCGAGAAATATATGTATAACGTTTTCTTAGTTTTTCAATGTTATATTGCAATTAACAATTCATATTATAGAGATCATTTAATAGAAGGACTAAAGTCATAAAATGTCATTCCTGTTCTAAACTTTTTATTTAAAAATCAATAATTATTTAGTTTAACCCCTATTCGTTATTTTCATTCCACGTTGTTTAATAAATTTTAAATTTTATATCAATTTTTAGTTATCAATATTAAAATTTCAGGTGGAATTTAATAGTTATTTACAATAGGTATAATAATAAAACCTATTTAACTTAATTATGTAAATACTTTTTTAAATTTAAAATCTATATATAACCATATGCATATTAAAATTTTATTAATCGCCCTAAATTTTATAACGGTAAACTACAATCCGAAAAATGTGTAAATGAACTTTTGAAATTGAAGTGATCTTAAATATTTGTATGTTAATCTAATTCTATACGACACGCAGGAAAAGCATTAGTTGTATGCATTTTTGATTCTTTCATCTTTCTAAATGAATTCATAATATCTTCCTGGGTAATTGCTAACATTTCCCTCGGACTATTATCCGAGCTTATGCTTGAATTTTTGCTTAAATATATCCCTCCATTTGAAGATTTAACTGATTCTTCATCAGCTTTGCGCATGTATTGCCTCATTCTGTATACTGAAGCGTTTCGACATAACTCTTTTAGATCAGATCCAGAAAAGCCATCTGTCAAGTTGGCTAATCTTGAAAAATCAAGGTTGTCTGATATATTTTCGGTTTCTAAAATAAGTTTAAGGATTTGAATACGCTGTTCTTCATTTGGTAAGCCGATGTAATACTGTGCAGGCATTCTTCTAAGTATAGCCTTATCTAAATCTTGTGGTCTGTTAGTAGCACCCATTACGATAACTGTGGAGCCTTGCTCAGTGTTTAAACCGTCCCATAGCATCATAAATTGTGTTTTCATCATAGCTGTAGCTTCATGATCTGTTGAGTTTCGTGAACGCAAAAAAGAATCAATTTCATCGATAAATATTATACATGGCTGAATTTTTACAGCTAAAGTAAATACAGCGGAAGCCAATTTTTGCGACTCTCCGTACCTTCCGAAGAAAAATGTAATATATTTATTTATTAATCTGTAAGCATATGAATACTATTAATTATTACCATTTGTCAGTTAACATTGCAACGTCTAAATTTAAAAACCGTGTTCCGGCTTCTTTTGCTGTTGCTTTTGCAATTAACGTTTTACCACAGCCTGGTGGCCCATGCAATAATACTCCTTTTGGGGCAGACCATAATTTTGACTTGTTGAAGAGCTCCCTGTGTTGAATAGGCAAAACTACAGACTCTCTAAGCTCTTGTATCACTGAATCTAAGCCAGCGATATTTTTCCAACTGACCGGAATGTCATCAGGAACTACCAAGTTAGCAGCAATCATCAATTCATAGTCAGTGAGATTATTTATATTGATTTTAAAATCGCTTTGATCGCCAAGCCTGAAACAATATAACGTTTTACATATGTACATACATTCATACATAGGTTAAGATTTCTTATTTACAATTCAGCTGAACATACCTTTTTATTTGTTCTTCAGCTCGAAGTCTTGCTTTTTTCTTACTCTTGCTCGTAGGATCCAACTGGTTAATCATCCACTTCACACTATAAAACGTCACCAAGGATGCCACTGAAACACGCAATATCATGGAAAATATTTCATTTCTGGTTAGTTGTGAACCTCCTAAACTAAATTGATTCATCTCGGTAATGTTTTAATTGTCGCTAGAAAATTAAACTTGCGTAAAAAAAGAAATTTTAAACAATTTTATTGATTATTTAACATAAGCGAACAACTTTTTTTAGTTTATCGTGCTTTTAGCCTTACAACTTCAACTTTAATCTACCCAACAGACAGTAATTGACAAATTACATGAGTGACATTTATGAAAAGACTGTTTTTAACAGGAAGGTTTATCAAATATCAACATTTATTATATTCGTAGATTGACATTTAATGTATGTCATTACCGTCATCTGCAATGCCCAGGAATATGTTTTTCATTATTTAAAGATGGAAAGAACGGATTTGTCAGTAATTAAAAAATAACAAAATTTATTAAAAAAACTGATGAAAACAAATCTATCTTAATAATAAATAAGCAAAGAGATGTCACGATTCTGAATTCGATCCAATATCAGAAGAGTATCGATACCCCAGTATTATCGTATCTAAAGATTTAAAGTATCGATATCGATGACTCAATAATTTCAGGAAAATCAAATCGGAATTCCCGTTTTTTAATTGGACATGTAATTTTTCCAATAAGTTTTCTCATTTTTTCAATTAAATTTTCTCTCAAAATATTGACTAAACTAGCCACTTTCTGTAACAAAAAGAATGAACGGTGACTAAACTTTTTTAGAAATTTTAGGAAAAACAAGATATTATTATTAATTTTTTTGTTTCCGAATAAAAAGACGAGGTGCCTAATAAAGCAAGAAACAGAATTCGCCGAACTAACAGACGGTAACAAAGACATTACAGTAAAAAAGAGCCGGAACTGCAGTTCTTACTTAAAACTGCAAACATGAACTTGAACCGAAATCCACAAATATTGTTGAACGGGTATTTAAAAACTGAAGTGTAGTATTGTGGCATGTCAAACAAAAGAAATGTAAAAAATTATGTAAAATTAAAAAAAAAAAAAACAAAAAAAACTTTGAAAATAAGCCTTCTGCACCTTATTGTGGCGGCACGAACGGTTATTATTTCTTCTATTGCTATTTTTGCTAAGGCGGTTTTAAGCAAATTAAAGCTATGTTCCTACTAAGGGAACTCAACTTATGTAATAATAATATTGAAAAAAAAAATTTAATTTTAATGATAGAAATGGCAATAGCAGTTAATGAGAGTAAGAGAAAAAAAAAAATATAAATGTCAAAAATTAATAAAATTCTTTATCAAAAATAAAAAAAACTGATTAAAAAACTTTGAAGATAAGTTCTCTGTACTTCTCTTTTTAATTTGGTACAATTTTATAATTATTTAAGTTGTTTTATATTTCTTCATTATTATTCTTTAAGTTATATAGAAATAGGAAGACATAATAAAATAATTTTCTCTCATATTTTATTTGAACATTCTGTGTAATATACTCTCCAACTCTCCGCAGTTTCAATAAACAATTTCAAAATTTTACATTTAATATTTTTTTGAATTATTGACACTTTGCTATTCTTTCCAATTTTATTTTTTAAAACTGTTCTATATAAAAAGTTGGCATATTATATCTGCAAATTTAAATGACGCTAATTTTCGGATTCAGTTTCACTAACACCGTACATTCCGGCTAAAAGGCAACCATACATCAACGTATTTGAACTAGTAACTTCGCTTGGAGGAATTATTGGACCATCATCGCCTTGATAAATATACGGTAACCTTAAAACCCAATACGCACTTTGAGACAATTTTGGAGGATTCGGTAAGCCCATGGTAAAAATGTAATCACCCGTTCTGACCTAAAAATTTCGAATATTTATAAACGGAGTATGTTGATATATAACGTATATATGTACTTACTTTTGGCTCTAAAATTACGTTTACTGGTGCTTTAGGCGTAACAATATGAACGCGCATCAATTGGGCCACCATTGTTTTCATATTTTTACATGGACAGGGGAAGTATAAAGGCATATCATTAAAGACGACTTTGCTTCCACTATCTCTAACGATTCCTTAAATTTTTCTGTGTATAAAAATCTGAATTTTATAAGAAATGTATTACCTGATCCGCCTCTTAAGACTTTGTCCGGTGAACTCATTATAAATCTGTGGCCTCTGGGACATTCATATTCACAACCTACGAAAATTTTTAAAATTATTACTTCACCTTTTTTTCTATATCGGGTTTTTTCGCAAGCCGCTGCCCATGAAGCCGAATGCTCGATTCTGCAAAAAAACATATGTATATTCGAGAATTTGCACATAAGTTCAAAGACGAAGTTTAATACCGAACATGTACATCCCAAGGCAATAAATAATTAGTGCCAGATAAAAATCCACTTTGAAAATGCTCCAACAAACCTGTATTGTGGCTGTAAACTGAACTCAAACCTAAACATACCAATGACCAACTTGGATATTGGGGCAGTACACCAATTGGACTCTCCGTATGAATCATTCCTGGAAGATATTCTGTAGTTGAAGCTTGTCTAATAACTTTATTTTCGTTTTCTTCTGGCTGTTCCCCCACTTTGATAACTAATTCATTGACGGATTCATCAGAACTATAACAATTTATCTTGTTTAAGTCATCCATAGACTCTAAACTTAAATTTGTATGTGATCTTTGGGATGCAGTTAGTGGAGCAGAATTTTCAGAATTTTCAGAATTTTTATTATTCATTTCATCTTTCGGTGCTTCTGATGCATGAAGTTTTGGAAAATATTTTTCTATTTCCGCTGGTTTAAAATCATTTATTGATGGTTCGAAAACAGCAAACTGGATTTTTTCAACCTTTGAGCAAGAAGAGCAATTATTTGCTAAGATTTGATAAAATTCATAATTTGCTTGACGAATTGTATATGGATCTTCACGATGCCCTTGAGTTCTACCACAATTGCATGTTGATACAAAAACAATTCCACTAGAATGATCTAATATGTCATTTGCATTATGCTTTGGTTTAATACAAGGATTTCCTCGTAAACTAGGGAATTCGCACTGTTGTTTTCCATTCTTCCATATTTGATCACATTTTTCTTTGAGTTTCTTTTCATTTATAGATGTATGAGGACCTCTAGCATATTTGAGGTAAGTTTTCATGGATTCTTCAACCTTAAAATATTTATTTCTTCAATTTGATACTTTTATAAATACTTTGAAAAAATGTACATACTAAACTTTTGTGAAAACCGCTGCTGTAGTGCGTTAGCATCGGATCATTATAAAGAGCAATAGCTTTCTTCAATCCTGTGTCACAGCATTTTGCGAAAAATCTAAAAATATTAAAATTACTTAAAAAACTCGCAAATAAAATAATTTATTACTCTTCGTCAATATCCATTATTTTATAAAAATTTTCCAAATATGATTTCTAATGAAGTGAAGAAATATTTTTAATTTTTATTCTAGAATTAACTACATAATATATTTAATTACATAATCAGGATCATTAGCTTCAAATTTCGGATTATCTGGATTTTCTATAAAAATTTTATGGAGTAATTTGAAGGTATCATACCAAGCTTTCAATGTTGGGATTACAAAATGATTTTTAGTTTTGTATTTAACCATATTATCGTCAAAACCAACTTTGTGAGCCTCATCGACATGGTAATCTAGTAAACTTAAAAAGGTTCTTTTCTTTTCTTTGCCCAAAGAGTCTGTCAACCTGTGCGTATAATGTTTTAGTGGTTTTCCAAATCCCTAAAAGACACTTCTTTAGAAACAAGAACGTGATTTTTTGCTAAAATTTTATATCCACATAATATGTTTACTTACCTCGTACGGTCTTAACTCATCTAAATCATCAATCAGCTCGCTTTTAACACTACTATTAGATTTGTTTATTAATTCATTCAAATAATTGATTGATTTCATTAAAGGATCTTCATGAACACTTTTGTCGGTGTTATAATAAACAAACCGATTGTTCAGGGGAACGGAAAATAGTGAAGCTGAACTAGAAAATAAAGAGCAAAAAAAAACTATGTATTTTCCTAGTTTTTCAATAACATTGCATTTAATGTAGAAATTTAACATAGAAACGTATATACCTGTTATTTGTTATTATGAATTCATTCCTTAACATCTTATATATATTATTTTCAACTTCAAATTCCAGTTTTGAAATAGCATCTGCATCTTGATCATCTACATATTGCAAAATAATGTAGCAAATTGTTAAAATAAAAATGAACTATAAAGTATTCTTTAAAATTTTATGAAAAATTTTACCATAACCATCCGGATAGTTTTCAAAAAAGAATAAAACTCTCGGAGAACATAATCTGGCATCTTTACCTAAAAATGACCCAGCAGTTGAATTTTTAACAAATTTTGGTAAAAATTTCAAAACATGTTTCTCTCTGTTAAATTGAATTAAAGAACTTTAATTTACTGATGTTAATATTTTTATTCACAATCACCTAATGATTTTCAAGCATTTAAAAATTTGTAATAAAGAAGCGTCAAAAGTAATACTTGTTTCAAGAAAAACGATTATGTGACAAATTTCAGTAGCAAATAAGAACATCCTTGCAAAACGATTTCGAACATGGTTATTAAATAACATAAACGGATTCTCAGTGCTGTTGTCTGACTGAAGGAATTTTTCTAAGTCTTTTTGCATGCAATAATTATCATAAGTAGTTTCAAAATGAACATATAATATGTTTTCTGATTTCTTTGAATAAAATGTTATACGACCCTATATATAAATTTAAAATTTAGTGCATATTTTACTATACATTGTACACATTATGTACCTCTTCGCCATCCTCGTTAAGTAACGTAGGGTACACATTAAGTATATTTAAAACTGCCATTTTATTAAAGAGCCTATATGAAGACTTACCAATTATTCCGACAACAACCAGTTTTCTATCATCTCGAAAAAAATCGCTTAAAATAATGAAAAATTTAATAGAGAAAAATCTTTTTTTTTTTTTCTCAAATTTAATAACAAGGAGTTTAAAAACAAATATCTACCTTGGCGGATTATCGGGAAAAATTATTTTTTCAAAAAGTGTCATATTTACAAATTTTATCTGTTATATTTTTATCTTGTAAAATATTTTTCAATGTTTTATTTATTTCTTAAAAAATTAGATAAAACACCAAATTAAATTACGTATGGAGAAAATGTAAGTTTGCATTCGCACATGTTACAAATATATTTATACAAACAAATATCAGCTGTTTGTAGATTACTTCAACTTACATATAAATGGATTTAAAATGGTGATGCCAGATGATCGAAATAATTTGTATTCAAAAATAAAGGGAATGCCAACTAAAGTGTTATTTTAATTTGAATCGATTTCAGATTCGATTATAATCTGTTAAATAAAACAGATTTTAATGTTTTATAAAATGTTTGAAGAATTATATGTAAGCATTAAAAACGATTCCAGCAAGTAGTTCAACAGAAATAAAACACAAATTTTATGTTAAATTTTTCTAAAATTATTATTTTTTTTAAAAGCTAATTTTACAGTCTTTTTTCACTTTTACAAAGTTATGTAGTTTTTATTTGAGAAAAGCAAAATCAAATATATTTAAACACAAATTTACCACATCAAAATTTTCTAAGCTTTATTTTTTATAATTATGTACAGAATGTATGCCCAAATTTTTAAGAATTTGCTAATACGTGTGTGTATTAATTCAAAAAATATTTTATAAACCTTTCTAAAGCTATTAATTTGCCTGTTTCCCAATTACAAAATCTGGAAGCAGCAAAAGATATTTATTGTTTCGTAGTTAAACTGAAACTTGTTTCAAGATAAGAGTGTGTTATGTCCGTCAAAGTTCCTTTGCATGATAAATCGTTTTTGGAATCCAGCCGTTTTTGTTAATCTTAGTTTTAAAAAACAAATTTTAACATTTCCACGGATTTTGTAATTAGGAATACCAATCTAGTTATTAACAACGTAATATTTTCTAAACAAGCTTTTCGATTTTGTACATCAAAAATAAATTTAAAAAACTCAAAATAAATCTTATTAAGATAATAGAAATTAGATGAGAGAAAAATTATTTGTTCAAAATAAAATAAAAATAAAATCATACAATTATACTTTGTTAATATTTAATAAAAATATAAAAATTTTTTGAAGTGATATCTTCAAATATTAATAGCGCATATTATTAATATATACTTATCTAGATATATGTATTTGCACATTATGTCAGAGAATAGACATTTTTATAAGATTCGGGAAGCTACACTAAATTACCCTAAGTTAAATAAAAATACGTATGTATATTATGTTCTGAAACAGAATCGGTAATTTACATTTTTTACTTTTGTTCTAATTTTTACCCTAAGTTAAAACTATACATGTTGTTATTCATTTTTCCAATTTTATAAAATTATTTTTAACATTATATTATTTATTTGCGTATTCATAAATTTATACATTTTTAATTTATTTACAAATTTATTAAAAAAACATAAAATAAGAAACAAAATAAAATAAAGTATAGTAAGAATAAAATAAAATAGTTATTGTATATTTTCGCCTGTTAGATCAAAAAATAAATTTGAAGCATTCCTAAGAAAAAATATTATTAAAATTATCTTGCATAAATTATTTTAATGCAAGTAAATATTTAACTTACATAAATAACTTTTATTATCTCAACTAATACTGTTAACGTATTAAAATATAATGATTCTTAATCTTTTAAAATTCATTTTTTAGTTATATACATATTGTAACATATTTAAATTAAGATAAATACCTATTTTTATAGTTTTGTGAATTTTTTTGTATATTAATAATTTAAATCAGTATAAATTAAATTGAGATCATTATGTGTAATTAAAAAAAGTATTTAAAATAGCTGACTAGTAGGTTTTTTTTTATTTAAAAAATTTTTAGAAATATATCTTAGCTGTGATATGAAAAATTGAAAGTGTATTATAAAAGCGAAGAACTATTTATATATTAGTAATATATAAAAATCTTTATTATTTGTACAAAATTATGAGTCCGAGTATTTCATATAAATTTATTTAACTTATATCTATTATAAAAAAAAAATAAACAATTAATGAAACGAATTAATTGTTTAATATATTTGAAGTGTACCATGTAAAAAATAAATAAATTTCTGCAAATTTAAATATTGAAATTAAAATTGACCCTAAAAATTTAGATTATAAATACAAAAAATTATGATATAAGAACTACTACGTAATTTCTTTAAAGTTATGCTGATTTTTGTTTTTTTTTTTGAATTTCTTATGCCGAGAAATTCAAAAATAAATAAAAAAATAAAAAATTTGGCATTGCTAAATATTATTAAACTATGCATTTTATACAAAATAAAGGTACCCTAACTACATTAAGAAATTATTTTTTTCAAACCCCCATTTTTACAGAATATCAGTTCAAAACTATGGTTCAAGATATAATTTTTTTTTTACCTTAAATAATTTATATAAAGGTCTTATAATTAAAACAAAAAAAATCCAGTACAACAAATAAAATAAAAACAATACATTGGTTTTTCTTATTTTTCTTTAAATAGCATTTTATTGATAATATTTTTTATTAATTTAAATACAATCTTCATAAGATATTATATTCATCTTTCGTTCTCTTATATATTTTTCCTCCTTTGAAATGTTGTTGAACCTTTAATATTTGTTTACTGATTTTTAGAAATTCTATTATTTGTTTTCCTCATTTGGGAATTGTTTTCGGTGAAAATTACTTGTTTGTGACCGCTAGTTTATTTTGTTTTTGTGATGCGTAGATTACATATACTTGTAAATTCATTTTTAGTTTAAATTACATTTAATTTCATATTATTGTAAAATAATGTTTGTTGCATTCAATAAAATTGTGTTTTTTTTTTTTTTTAAGTTTGAACAACAATTTTAAATCATTTTTATTTTATTATATATATGTATATATGTATACATATTTCTCGTCAATTTCTACAGCTTTTCTTTACCATTTCTGTAAAGTTTTTTTCACTCATATTGAAGAGCAACTAGTTTGTCAGTGTTTATGCATTAAATAGAAATTGTTTAAACCTTAGACGATAACAAATAAAACTTGTTTCTAATGTTGTAGCATTATGAATTTTAAAGGAGTTCCTTCTTAAATAATAATAAAAAAAAAACTAATCAAACATTGTTGTTATCATTTTTTTCTTTGTTGCCAAAATTGTGTTCTTAATATTAAAACATATACTATAGTAATTTTATTATGTTATATCCCGTATTTCAATTCAAAAAGCAAAAAACTGAAAATTATGGTGTTATTTTTTTTTTTTTGCACAAATACTTATTTTAATCAGACGTAAATCTGTTAATAATTTTTGGAATTTTATTTATTTTGCCATTATAAATTTTAATGTCTTGAACGGTGTTCTCTATCCCTCTCTCTATCACGATCGCGTTCCCGCTCCCGATCTCTATCACCACGATCACGTTCTGATCTATATCTTTCATCATAATAGCTTCGTTTTGATGATGTTTCGCTGGTTTGTTCAGCTACCTGTTCTGGAGATTTATTTCTTGGTCTTCCAGATCTCCCGCTAAAAGTATTATCATCCAATTAGAAAATTTATTTATTACTTCACTGAAAACTACTTTTGAATATTTGTATTTCTAAATGATATTTCATACCTTTCTTCCCGATAATGATCGCTATTTCCACCACGATCTCGTTCTCTGCTTCTAGATCTGTCCCTGCCACTTTCACGATAACTGTTAGAACGATATCGGCTGATATAATATTTTGGTTTTTTTTTTATATTTTTTTAAGAAAAGCATGTGTTTTTAATATTTTAAGTATTTGAGAATTAAATAATATTCATAATTTAGAAAGGAAAATTCGTATCAGAAAGAAAAACAGAAAAAAAAACAAAAAAGAATGAAAAAAATAAAAATTTTGCAAAACAATATTAATTTCGTTTTCTTACTATTTGTATTTTTATGAAATTTAAAGAAAATAGGTTTAAAATAAAATTAAGTTGAAAAGTTAATTTGAACACACAGTTGAAATATAAAAATTATATGATGTACTGTCTATTTAGGATTCAATTATTGATTCCCATTTGAATTTTTTAAAAACTCTTAGTATTTGCTTGCATATTATGTTTGGTAAACAAAATATTTTAACTTATTGCAAATAGAAATCCATAATTGCATAATAAATTAATACCATAGCGCAGTTTTTTAAATGTATGAAAATACTCATATTCACTTACTTCTCCCTTTCCCTTGACCTTTCTCTATATCTTGAATTTGATCTCTCTCTTCGAGGTCTTGAGCGGTGGGAACGTTCTCTAGACCTTGACCGTTCTCGCCGACTATGAATTTTTGCCTCAATACCATGTAAAGTATCTTGCAATGAACTAATTAATATTTTACACCTTTCATCAGCGGCCACCTTAGATTGCTTTATTAGAGATATAGCTGTAACAAGAGTTTCATAAGCACTCGAATATTCACCTGCTGCGGCGTCTGAAACGGCTCTAAGGAGGTGGATTTGTTATAAATTTTATACAATTATGTTTGTAAAATAAATATATAAAAACTTAAATTTTATAAAAATACCTTGCTATTGCTGAACTACTAACTGTTCGATTTCTACTCATTACTTCTTCAAATTCAACTTCACTTAAAGCAGGAACGATAGTTTGTTGTTCTGGGAAACCGGATGATGGTGGTTTACTCGGACCACCAGGCCATGGGCCACGAGGTGCTGCGTGTTGCGGCGGCATATTCATTTGTTGTTGTGGTGGACCAGGTGGTCCAGCATGTGGTGGCATTGGAGGACCTCCTTGAATTTGTGGTGGTCCACCTAAATATAATGTACATATTTAATGTTGTTTTACTTTTATATTTGTAAAATAACACATAATTTTATTTGTGCTTATTACTTTTATACCTTGATTAAAGAATGCAGGGTTAACATGTGGTGCTGGGGGACCACCAACGCCCATTTGTGGCGGTGGTCCTCTGGGTGGACCTTGCATATGTGGTGGCCCCTGTGGTCCAGGTGGACCTTGTGGCGGAAAACCACCATGCATTGGAGGCCTATTCCAATCAGGACGCATACCTCTTGGTGGCATTCCTCCGGGCCCTGGAGGTCCTTGAAACTAAAATACATACATGATTTTTCAGTTTAAAATTAATATTAATTTTTTTATTAAGAAATTAATTAGTTCATTTTATTTTTTTTATGTCTTAACGAAAAGGAAATAGCCAAAAAATTTTAATATAATTTTTATAAAATTAAAACAATTTTCTTTCAGAAGTTATGTTAAGTATAATTTTACCAAAAACTAATTGAATTTTAAGCTGAAAACCACATTTTGTAATATTCATTTATACACTTTAGAATTGCATTAGATTGAGTCATAAATATTTTTGATTCTACACAGAACGTACAAAATAGATAAGTTAAGAAATTTTATTTAAAATGGTTAGGAGATAATTTTTAATAAGTGTTAATCAAATTTTTACAAAAAATTTTAAGACAATTTTTCTCACATTTAAAAATGATTAGCTTTATAAATAAAATATTAAAAATTAAGTGTATTTTTTAATAAATTTCTTAAAAGGTATTTAATTCTTATGTAAAAAAATGTGATAAAATATTTTCAAATTAACTTTTGTTATAAAATTTTTAAATTCATGTTTATACCGGGAACATTTAAATATTAAGGACGTAGAGTTTCATTACCAAGCTTTCCACAATAATTTTTATTAACTATTTATATTTTCCAGTTAAATAGTTTCCAATAATTGAATGAATTTTGGTTTCTCGTTTTTTTGTTTTGCTGCTATAAATTATCTTTGAGCTTCTTGTAAATATATATAAAGTAACTAAAAAAGTATTTTTTCAGATGTTATTAATTTTACAAGCAATTATTCGCATTTAATTAAATTAATTTAACATTTTTTTATATTGTTTCTATATCTTATAAAGTAAAATATTAAATAAGTTATATTTTAAAACTTTGGTAATGTATAAAATTGTTCCAATTTGCTTTTTTTACAACCTAGAAATTCCAATTACTTTAAGCAAATAATTTTGTTAATACAGTGCCAAAATATTTGAATTTTAATTTTACTAAAGTTTTCTTATATAAACTTAATTATATTGTTGGTTAACAATTTTTTAAAATACATAGTTAGATATGTATTTGTAATTAATTAAATTCAGTATCAATTTAATTTGTGCATGGTACATGACAATATCTTATGGTTAATGAATGATATCTTGTGAGAGACTCCAATTTTAAAAGTGAGAAAGAACAATGAAATTTCAGAATAATTTTACTTAATAACTCAATCTTAATGTTTTTTATTGCTTACAATCATTAAATATGTGTATGTAATTGGTGTTGGCGGTTGTTAATTTAGTGTAACAATATTCTTAATACCTAAACTAAAATTATTTTTAATTAAAATTTTATTTAAATTACAATTAAATTAATGCTAATGCTATATTTTATAAAATTGTTTCAATTTTAATCATTTTTAATTATGTAAATTCAGTATGAAATTTTAATATTTTCGTTTTTGTTTTTATTTTAATAAATTATTTTTTATTAAACATATACATAGAAATATAGAATAATAGGTTTTTGCTTTTGTTTTTATATAAAAATGATTACAAGTATTTATTATTTTTACCATTTGTGGTCTATGTTGCATTGAACCTGGGGGACCTTGTGGTCTAGGTGGACCTTGCGGTCTTGGTGGACCATTCCATTGTGGTGGCGGCTGATTTGGATATCTTGGAGGTCCTTGACCCATTTGTTGAACAGGAGGACCACCTTGATGCATTGGAGGCTGTGATATTTTAAATTTTTCCCGCAAACATAATAAATATAATCGAACAAAAATATTGTTTATTTAAAAAAAAAATATTTAATTAAACAAAATTTCTTTAAAATTAAACTACATATTTTTATATTTTAATAAATATTTTAATTAAATAATATATATATATATATATAATAATATTAAGTACGCTACTTATAAATTTAATATGAGAATGCATTTTCAAAGGGTTGTTATATATGCTAAAATTTAAGTTTTTTTTTTATAATACATGTATTTAATTAATTAATTTATGTTAGATTAAAAGAACTAATTTTATTGAAGAAAAATTATTATATTTATAAAAACAGAAAAATAAAATATTGTTATCATATAAAAGGAATTACTCAGTTAGGATTATTAAAAATGAATGTTCATAACATAAATATAAAAATGATAAATAAAAAGTTTATATAATATGTTTTTTTATTCGAATCTAGATAAATTATATTGTCTTAGAAATTTCAATAAATTTAATGAATTAAATATATTTAAAAAAGTAGTGATAAAATTTATTATAATTTAATCTAGATTCAAATATTAATAGTTTGCCAACAATTATATTAATGATTTATATTTTATACATAACTTATAAAAACCATCTGAAAATAATACTTGATTTTTTTTTATTTTCTCACATAAGGAGCAAAAGAGTTTATTTGAAATTTGTAAAACAAGTATTCTTTCAAACTTCATATTATTAGAATGCTATTTTGATATATGCCCTTTCAGAATATTTTTTTATAAATCAAAAGTTCAAAATTCAGTAAATAATTTGTTTAGTTACGAAAATAGGGCATTTTGATTTGCACTATTAGTTACAGGTTTTATTTCTTTAAACTCTTATTGTGCGTACGAATCATAAATTATTGATCCTCACTTAATTTTTTTTAAATTATTTTTTGTGAGACCAGTTAACGTTATGTGAATATTGGATTTATTTTATTAACAGTGATTTTTAAAACAGTTTTTGGTTTTAGGTTACTTAAGGAAATTCTTTAATTTTATATTGAAATTCAATCATTTGTAAGTGCGATTTAGTTTGAACATGAGTTACTTAAATAAATAAGTTTTAAAGTGACATCAAATTTAATATCACTGTATTATGAAATTCCAAAAATTTTTGTTTTTACAAAAAATAATATGAAATGTCTTGTCAAATAGAATTTCATAATTACATTAAGCAAAAAATTCTTTTTATTCGTAAGAAGAAAAGTTTAGAAAGTACGATTCTTTGTCAAATTATTTAGATTTTTTAATCTAAAATTAAACGACTTTTTCTAATAAAATATACGCATAAAATTTTTATATTACTTTCTTTACTGATTTTGAATACATAAATATAAAATTCATGATTGTTCTATGACGATGAACTATGTATGTATTTATTTTAGAAGGAGTCTGAAAATTAATATTTAGTTAAACTAATAGGTGTAAAATTCTTTTGAATATGTTTTGAATTTAACGAATTATTCTCTTATATTTTTGAAATTCATTTTTCAATAAGTTGCTAACAAATATTTTTGACTAGTTGCTTTAAAGAAATTTTGATTACCTTTTAAATTCTGTACATTTTAATAAACTCTTTATAATATAAAGGACCATTTATAATATTTAAGGAGAAATATGAAATCCAAATTTCAAAATATTCCATAATCCCATAAATTATTTTTGAAATATTAAGTAGGTAAGGCCTTGAAAATTTAATTAATTAGGAGAAAAAGTTTTAATGTCAATTTAAACAGTCGTAGGAATAAAGTGCTTTTTAAAAAGATTTTTGATTTGTTTTTAAAAAAAGTTTATTTAAATTTTTTTTTTATCTACAAAATTATCACAGTCATTTATATTTAATTAAAAAAATCAAAATAGATAAAAATTAAAATATTATTTTTTAAGATTAAATTTATATAAAAAGAAAATAAAAAACGATCATAAATTTTTAACGTATTTTTTTTTTTTTGATATAATAAAATATTAATATTATATAATTTTACTTATTATTAAGTAATAAAATTAAAGAAATACATAACTACAATTTATTATACCCAATTATCGTATAAGAATTAAAACATTTCTTTTTTTTATACAAATGAATTATTTTTTTTTACGGAATAAAATATTTTTAGCGCGATTTCAAGAGAAAAACAAAAAATAAAAAAAAAATATTAGTAACAATAAATATTAGATGTACTATATTCTTAAACAAAAATTCGGTAAAAAAAGTCATATACAATTTTTATAAGTTTTTAAGTGTGATAATAAATTAAAGAGTCAAAGACAATTTAATACACTGTTTGAACAAGTGCTGCGTCAATGCATATAAAACTTTTTGAAGCAGTTAAATTTTAAATAATAATACATATATATATATAAATATTGTTATAATTTAATATTAATTAAATTATTGAGTTACGAAATATACAAGATGAAATATGAAATAATTTGAACAAAATATTTTCATTTTAATTTCTTTTTTTTTTTTACAAAAAATATTTTAAAGAAAATGTTTCATGTATTTTGAAGTTGAAATTAAAGTTATTTGTACTATCGTTAAAATTTTAGTCTATTTTTCTTTTTATATAATTTTGTTTCAATAATTTATTAAAAATATTAATATTGTGGAACATACATAAAAGAAGTTGTACATATAAATGGAAATTTTTATATATCGGTTGTTACAAATAATCTTTAACTTCTAAAAAGTTTAAAAATATGCGATTATATTTCAGCATTTTTAAGGATAACTGTTAAATTTACATTTTCATAAATAAAATAAATAAATATATATATATAACATGTATATATTTATATATTCTGATATACTGATACATTTATGAGTTATATTAGTGTTAAAAATTGAAATTGATTATTATATACACATATATCATAAATTATACTTATTAAATATTATACTTTATTTAAAATATTTGAAATATTATAAATAATAGAACTTGTTCTCTAGCTGAACAAATTCCTTAAATTAAAGAAAACAAAATGTATAACGAAAGAAAATAAAGAGAATAAAATATAATTAAAAAATTTTTGTAATAGGATCATAACTGATATTTTGATATAAAATATCAACATATAAGAGTAGATAGTTGTTAAAATAATCAAATACGTTTTAAAAAGTTGAATAAATTGAATAAAAATTAATTGAAAGTTTTTTTTTCGAGTTTTATACCTTTGAAGTTTCGTTATCTCTAAATAGCGGGAATCGCTAATTCTATAAATAATGAATTTGTAAAAATCAAATATTACGTCCAAAACTATTATAGGTATTTTAATTTTGTTTTAATTTTTTTATAGACACTTTCAATGCCTTTTTTACTGCATTTGTAATGCAATATGTTAAAAATATCAGTTATATCCTAATGTTACATTAGATTTTAATATAAAACAATACAAATTTTGGTTTTGTTTATATTTTAAATGAAAAATTTCCAAAGAGAATATTTATGTAATTCGTTTAAAATAAATACCCTCAAAATAAATATAAAATTATTATACATATGCCCAGTATTAATTTAATATATTTCTTTTTAATATAAAATTGTAATTTGAAGTTTTTATAAATATGTATATATATCATTATATGTATAACTTATATAGATTTTGAGATCAATTTTACAATATTCTAATTTCAAAAGTTAAGGAATAAGGAACAAAAAAAAAAATTGTTTTTTCATTAATATAAGAAAAAGCAATAATGTTATGACTGATTCTTATAAAAGATGTACTTATTTATTTTAATAAGATACGCTGTTTTTAAATTAAAAAATATAAAATATTTCATCTATTAAGTTATAATACTTATGATAGTGTGTGAAAATTTCAAACAAATTCTATTATAAAAAGAACTATTTCTTTTTATTAATTCTTATCCAGTTTAAGATAGGTATATATACATATATATCAAATGTGTACGTATATACATTATTATTTAAAAAAGAAAATGTAATAATTATAATTTTTAAATATTATATGCTATTACTACTTTGTAGTTGAACCCAACATTTTTTTTTTGAATTTCTTTTAAAAATAATATTGTAACTACAATTAATTATAACTCTTTTATTTTATTTCTATTGTTTAATTTTTTCTTATCAAAAATATAATAAAATATTATAAAATTTTACGTTTATTACAAAATCTGAATCATAAAATTTCTTAGAACATACCTGCATTCTTGGAGGACCTTGATTTTGCATTGGGGGTCCTTGCATATTTTGCGGGCCCATATGAGGTGGCCTATATTGACCTGGTGGCCCCTGCATATTTGGATTCATCATTCGTGGTTGATGACCTGGTGGTGGTGGTCCTCCAGGATGTGGTTGCATTCCACTCATATTTACTGGACCTCGTGGTCCGTTTTGTTGTGGAGGAACTGGACGCGTTTTTTGTTGGCTTTCAAATTGATTAAGTGCTTGTTTTGTTGGTAATGTTACGACAGGATTTTGACCATGTAATTCTTTTTTCGGTAGCCTTTCAATTACAAGCCTCATACTAGATTCCGAACCTAGAGATATAACACAAAATCCTTTTGATTGCCCGTTTGAACGATTTTCAAAAAATTTAACTTCTTGAAAATCATTAACGCCAACTTCTTGAACAGCATTTGTGATATCTTGATCAGTTGTCCACTAAAATTAAATTAAGTTCTGTATTGCTAGGAGTTCAAAATTAAATTGAGTTTTGTAGTTACGCTTATTTAGCAAATACTACGTGAATGTAATATGAACGCACATACATATATATTATTTATTTCAAATTATATTTGAATAAAATATAATCTTATTTAATTTTAATCGTAATCTTATTCAATTTTAAATGTCTTGATATTACTTATAAAAACAATTTAAAAAAGATTTCCTCGATAATTATAACTTCTTTAAATTTACCCAAGTGAAATTTCCAACATATAATTGGTATTTTCTACCAATATGTTGACCTGGACCACTAGAATTATATGATCCATTGGTTTCACCGTCTCCTCTTTCTTGTATTATGGAAGAAGAAGTTCCGTCTTCGTCATTGTCATTTGGACCAGTTGCTATAACATCATCATATAAATCCACTGCCTCACCATCAAATTCTTGTTTTACGAACTAAAAAGTTATATACATAAAAATTACCACTTTTTAAACTTATGCGTGATTATAACTAAGTTAAAATGCTTTTGTTTTACCTGGGAATCTTGATCTAAATCATCTCCATACAAATCGATATCCACGCCATCCGCAGCCATTTTCATTTAGAAAAATTTTTCTTTAAGCCGGCACAGTATTTTTTGAACTAGTTTTTTCTTGCTTTATTTTTTATTTATTAACTTTTCATAATATAAAATGAATTAAGAACGATTAAAGTAGTTTGATTTTTAGAAATTTTATTATGAATAAAGTGTATTTGAACTACTTTTTGTAACAAAATTTCTCTAATCAAAAGCCGATGTTTTAACACCTTTTCCTTCCTTTCTAAAATTGTTCAGTAAAAAAAATAATATGTTTCTTTATCTTCCAGTTTCTATCTCTTTCATTTTGAGTTGAAAATACAGCAATGGCAGCTCGACAATAGTTTATCAGCGACATCGGTTGTCAGTTTGGATAAACTATGTTTTCACGATGCTAACACCCGTGTCGTACTTGTGTCATCGAATTTGTGCGTACAATATTAGATATTATCATCTTTCTTAATATTGCGAAAAGATTAAGAAATGTTTTATTCACTTTTCGTGCATCAGTGGACTTAAACAATTTAGTAAAGTTTACAGCATACATTTTTGAATGTTACGGCATACATTGTGAAACCTTTTACTTAAACTAGCTAGTAGATTTTTTTTGTAACAAGATCGTTTTCAACCCCGTAGTCATAAATTTTATCGCTTTGTATTTCTAACAAATATACTTCCATCTATTAAGGAATATTCTTGTAAATTACGCTGTTTGGTGTCATTAATCTGTCATTTAAAAACAAAAATATCTTTTGTCATTTTTTAACAAAAGGTTTTGCTCTCCTAAGTGCTAGTTAGTGACTAGAAATCGGAAAATTAATATCAAAATACAAAAGTATAAAGTTGAAAAGAGAACAAGGGTCACTTTCCGCGGTAATGAAGTGTCAAAATTCAATAAAATACACATATTATATAAATGGGACTGGCGAGAATGAAGCGAAATTACCGCTGCGAATTTAATGAACGGTAAAATAGCCAAAAACTTATTCTTACCGTTGACGATTTTATTTGACATCATCTGTTTCCATGTGTGTGTGACATTATATGGAAAATGCTGAGTTGATTTTGCAGACCCGATATAGTTTTTGATTAACATTGAAACAGGATACAGCCTGTTGAAAAAAAAGTACCAGATTTTTCCTGTATATAAATAAATGCCTATAACTTTGGAGTCATGTGACATAGAATAATAGATAGTTCATTTTGTGGTAATCTATTATAAGAAAATTGTTATCAAATTCTTTTATATTCCATATACATACGACATAAATACATACTCGTATATGTACCTCTAAAATTTAAAAAAATATAGAACATGGTTGTACAATAAGGTTTTCGAATTATCTGTAAATTTCTCGAAAATATTTTAAGAGATTTCAATGTTTGCATTATGTAGTACTCACCAACATGTTTTAGTACATTTTTGTACCTTTTTAGTGTAAAGAGAAGTCTTTTATTCTAAGAGAAAATACAGCATATTTTTATATGGGTAAAACATTTGTATAACACTTTTCAATGAAATGAGCATCATTCTGTTATTATAACATGAAATTTTTACATTAATTATTACTATACATATTTTGAAAATGAAAAATTATTTGCAATGAGAATATAGAAAAGTAAAGTGAAATTCATATACTGAGTATATGTGTATGTATGTATGCATTTACTTTTTTATATTTAATCTTTTCATTCATGATTCATAAATTATTTCTTTAAACTGATATAAATATTGAATACTGTAATATCGGAATGCTAAAATATTTACAATAATTTTAAAACTAAAATGAAGCAGTACATAATATGTATATATGCACGTATGTACTCGTATATATCTAATAAGTAGATTCATTTTTAAATAGTAAAATTAATTTATTTATTTATTTACAACATAAAAATTATAATCAATACAATAAAACACTAGGGTATCTTAAAAATTATGTTCGTTCGTTCTATAACAAACTTGTTCTTTTACTTTTGTATGTATATTATAGGAGTTCTTAATTACACATACATGCCAATCTAATTAAAATTTAGAATAACCTCATACCACCAAAGGCTTACTTTTTCCATATAAACACTAATGATGTGCGGTGTTTTTGTTTTAATGGATAATTTCTTATATATTGGGATTGTTTATCAGTTTCGCAGTTGTGAAGCGAATTTATGCAATTTTTTCTGGTAACACTTTATACCCACAGCAAATGTACTTTTAAATTTTTAATTAACGTTTACGTACGTTATATTATAAGAAATTGTTTACTGACGTGCTGCACTGGCTTCTTGCGTCAGCAATAGTATGCCAAGTTGTTGACTGTTTAAAATTTTTCGAGAGTATACTGTTGGTGATATAGTGTACAATCATATATATACGAGTATATATATTGTGTATGTGTTTGTAATTAAATTCAAAATAATTTTATTTTAAAATGAAAACAAATTGAATTATAAAAATATCACATCATACACAAAAAAAAAGTAAAACAAAAAAATGTTTTTAAACATATATGTATATATATGTTTGTATATAAGTATAACATTATCCCTTCATCTTATATTACAGAAGTTTCTTCTCTAATGACCAATTTAATTTGTATTTTCAAATGTACTTTTTGAACTATTTTAATTTATTTTTGTTTTTATTTTATAAAATTTATTGAGACTAAAAAATATTATTTAAATACATGAGCAGGGATATATATATATATATATATATTATATAGGTATAGGTAGGTATTTATTGTAAAGAGTACTTTTTAAAGGATTCTCTTATAAATCTGTAAATTTGTATTGCATCTACATATTGATATTTGTTTATTATGTAAAAAACAATATACAACTTCTCAATTATATATAAATTTGTACCTTATATAAACAAATAAAAAAAAAACACAAATATAAAATATAAAAAAAAATACTATTATCCTTTGATATTTTTTATATTATATGTATATAAAGTAATTTTTTATGGTTTACATTATTATCCTTTGAAGCGGTTCTTATAGCTGTAAATGAATAATTTTTTATTTTTAAATATTATTAGTGTATAAAACTATAAAAAAAATATTAACTTTTATTATTATAAAGCTTTATTAGATTTTATTATGTGTAATGATTGTAATAAATAGGTAAAAGTTTTATGTATAAGGATATTTACATTTAAAAATAATAAAAGTGAAAAGGAAAAGCACAATTGGGGTGTGATAAATCATTTGAAAATTTTTTTTTTGTTGAACATAGGTAGATATTTGAATTTAATTTATTTAGAATGAAATAATGTGAAAAATAAATTTTTTTTTTAAATGCGTAAGGATTTCATAAAAACAGATGCGTCATATATTTTTATCACGTCGCATTTTTTGGCATTCTACTAGACGTGAAATGTGATCTGTGAGAAGAAGCGAGACTCGAAATTTTTGGATAAATAAACTGGTGACAGAAAAAAATTTTAAAAATACAAATAGTAAATTACAAAAAGAAAGATATGTTATCGAACTTTTTGGTTTTTTCATAAAAGTAGAGAAAAAGGTGATAAAGAAAATTAAGAAAATGAATTTTCCACAAACTCGATTTAAATTTGAAATTGCTAATTATTGGTTACTTTTACACTGGAATTAACAAAATTTCTCAAATAAAATGTATGAAATTTGGATTTTTCACAAGTTTTTAAAGGCATTACCGTTTAATGGCCTACTTATGAGAGAAACATCTCTATTTAAAAAAACTGTGGCTCAAACGAAATTGATTGTAAGACAAGGCCAATCAATTGCTTGTCCAATCCCCAAAATAAAGGCCAATCAATTGCTTATAAAACCAATTTCGATGGTTACTCTATGCCGCATAATTCTAAAGTTATAAGCATATATTTAAATGCAGGAAAAGTCTGGTATATTTTTTTTAAACTGGTTTAAAGTTCGAAAATGAATATAACTGCCACCCTTCCAGATAATGTTTTACTGAAAATTGATTAAAGGATCATCATTTCAAATGCGTGTAACGCTTCCATTTACAGCTGAAATTTAGCTGATTCAACATACAAAGAAAGTAGAATTATAATTAATATAAGTACATACATTTTATGTATTTTTATGTATTAAAGAATTAAATTTCCGCAATGGTGTTTGAAATACAATATATTTTAAAAATCACGGTAATATATGGATGATAGGAGAATTGAACTGTACTATATAACACTGGACTAGCTCCTTTAAATCATTATACTTAATATAACTTTTTTTTTTTATAATTATTCTATAAGAAATAGTTTTCTTTTCTTTCTCAAAAGCATTATACTTTTAAATCGTTTTTCATATATGTAGCTTCTATTTTGTTTTTTTCTTTGTATTTGTTTTTTTATTTTTAACTTCTATTATGTTTATACCAACATAAATGTTTTATAATTTATCATAATAATAAAGGATACAACCATTATAAAACAAATATATACTTACATTTTGGTCTTTACTATCGTTTATTTTATTATACAATGTGACCTTATCCTTTTCAATCAAAATAAAATTTTCTTCCATGACGTATCGTTGGTCTCATATAGTACTTGTTGTACGAGTGCATATTAAACTGGGTCAAATGTGTGATTATGTTAATTTTCTATTGGAAGTTACAATAATTTTTGTAATTTTAAAAGCGTACAAAAAATAACTTAAACGCTTTGTTTGGATTTCTAAAATATTTTAACTTGTTTTTTTTTCGAGCTTACTGAGTAGATAAAAAGTTTTTAAATATAAACTTTAACTTAGAAAATTTTACTATACGAGTACAATATTAAAGTTTAAATTTTAATTTTATAATTTTTTTTTCATTATTTCTTTTTGGGTATTATTAATGCAACTATATATAAGAAAATTTTTTTAAGAACGCAAGCACACAACTTTAACAAATTTAATTCATAAATCTTTTCGGAGAAATTTCTCTCGATTAAAATGAAATTTTTTACTTTGCGACAACAATAAGAAAAAAAATATTAAGCACAAACAAAAAAAAAAGAAAAACAAGAGTTTTAGATAAAAATTAAGTTTTTAAGTGGGGGAAAACTTTTTCACCGTTTAAATTAATATATATATGTATATATGTAAGTTCATATTTATTTTTTAAAATATAACTTTTAACAGGTCTTTATGACTTTCGAAATTTCGATTATTTGAATATTTTAATACTAAACAGTTTTGGAGTTTTGATTTTTTTAAATATATAAATTGTTTTTTGAAATCTAAAGAAGATTTT